CTTAACCCCTGTCTAATATTGGACTGATGTTCATCGGATTGAACGAAAAGATGTAGGGCGAACAGGTATCAGTGAATTCCGAAAGCTTTCAGAAAGGTGTATGTATAATGCGCTGTGAACACCTTTAAAGTGTTCTAATTACAAAATTATAGTCGTACTAAAAGAGTGATCCTGCAAGTGTATAGTATAATAATAAGTCATGTGACTTACACTTGGCCTACAATTTTGATTTTCTTTATTATTCTCCACAAAACTCAAAGTGTTCTGCATCAGTGCCTTATTGAGATGCATCACACCCTTTTTTTCTAGTTTTTTTTATGTTTTCATTCCAAATGGTAAGAACATTGGGATTCTCACTGGGGCTATAATTAGATACAATAATCAGAGCTGCCATTGTAAGAGAGCTAATCGGGCTCGAGTAAATTCAGTTTCCACTAACTCCGTCAACCTCTGTTCTGTAAATTTCTGTTCCACTAGCATACTGAAGCATTCTCTCCCAGCTATATGGCGGTGGGAGAGGACTAACCAGGGAAGGCATTCAACTTCCCATGGAACTTTGAATTGAGACCCAGATATATCGATAGAGCTTCAAACGCTGATTACAAATATGGAAACTAAAACTGCAAAATGAACCTGCCAAGGAAGTTGTGAGCAGTCAAAGTTGGCTGGAAGTAAAGCATTGCACATAACCGTGCTCCGGGCTTTCAGAGTCGCCGCGGAGCAGTGGTGGTGCCCTCGCTATTCACCCTGGAGGTCATAAGCTCTCCTCCCGTTGGAGCGCAAATTCCGAGAGCACTACCACTACTCCACGGCGACTTTGAAAGCCTGGAGGCTAGTGTAATGCTTTACTTCCAGCCAACTTTGACTGCACACAACGTCCGATGAATCTATCTGGGTCTCATCTCAAAGTTCCATGGGAAGTTGAACGCCTTTCCTGGTAAGTGTCAATATGATATGGTTCTTTCTGTCAGCGCTCTGAAAATTAGGCCTTTAAACACTTCCAAGAAGGCGCATCACGTCTGCGGAAGCTACTGCAACTTCTTGCGCGCCAGCAATTGTGCAAAAACAGTGTAAACATAGTGTATTCTGCATTTCCCTCGGTTCAAGCGGCGAGACCTTGCGGCCATGCGTTTTGATTGGCTTGTCCTACTTCGCAAATTCATAGACTTCAGAAAAGTTTCCGTTATGGGTCATTTGAAAAATAGGCTTCAAAAGAAGTATTAAGTCGCAATAAGGAAGCAAATTTTACTTGGAAGTGATTTTCAGCTTTGGTAGAGGGGGAGGGATTCTACTCGGCACACAACTACAAAATTGTAACCAGGGGGCAGCAAAATGCTACTTTTTTTGTACTAGCTAAGTCAGCTCTTCTTATAGTTACTTTTTAGTGAATTGGGTGCGAACGAATCTTTTTCTAATGTTTTTCCCTGGTAAACCTGAGGTGAATATTAGTAAGCGTTACGCGTCGATATCAGTGAAAGGTGTATCACAATTCCTAAATATTCGAGAAAAGTTCTACCATTGCCAGTGCTCTGGAAAGGATAATGGCCATAGAAGATGACCCTCCAGATGCCCTTTGTATCTGGCCTGGGAATTCGCTTCACCACTACCAACGCAAGTGCCGATGGCCTATAATTAAATCAGATACATGTAGTTTGTAGTGGTAGCTGGTAAATGATAGTTGTAATTAGTGACAACTGATAGAATACAACTGCAACCGGCTAATCATTTCATTGGCAGAAAACATTTACATTTTGTGGAGGCTGTCGTCACTTTTGTTGTGATGTCTGCAGTAGACACGCACCTGGGCACAGGATACAAATGGTACCTAATTTGAACACACCACCTTACAATTAATGCAGTTTCTGAACTTACGAGTCCAGATGATCATTTCCTTCAGGATACAAATTAGATTGTCCTGACCTTGTTCCTGGAGAAGAAACGCTCATTCCCCTTCTCCTTCTTCAGAAAGTTCAATTGAATTACGATCGGACTTTCTAATGTTTTCTTACTTATCATTTCGAAACCAACTTAAAAGCAGCGAGTTCACGAACCTATCAAGCCACTCTTGATAATGTTCGAAATATAAATAACATGGAAAATAATCTAGTGATTTTATCCAAAAGAAGTTTTGCAGTTTAGCCACACCCTAGCAAATCGAATTTTTAGACGGAAAAACTATTCTGAATGCTATTACCGCTCAACACCCCTCGAACCCGCATCAATTTTAGAGAAACTGAGAACAAGTTGGCGGCTGCATTAAAGCAGCGTTAAGAATTCTTGACTTAGTAATAACATCATCAACATAAGAGCATGTTCTGGGATTTCATATCGTTTTTTACTGGGAGGTTTCCATTTTCTATTATTGGAGTAATGTCCAAAGAGCTTGCATGTTCTATGAGAGTAATACATTACAGGTTTAATTCACAATATTTACTGATGACGACCATTTTTTTATTCACTGAACTGAAGCACATAAATAGTGTAGCGGCGGAATGTAGTAGGAGATATGATGGCTAGGATCTTCTGTAGCATTCTAGAAATGCGAAATAATTTTATCAAGCAAGTCGAGTGGAATTCCCTCGCGCGATGACTTTGCTGTGAGTGTGTGGATGAATTTGTGAGTGTTGTGATGATGATGAGGACAACGATGAGAACCGACGATACACGCTCTTGCCTAGTAGTCGAGATATGGCTCGAACATTGGACCTCGTTTGCCGAATCTGTAAACATAGACTATCATCACGTAACAGTTCATTGAGTTTGGAACCAAGTGCTGGGCGTTAAAACTAACCGAATAGGTTCGCGTGGCACACGCTTGCCGAATCGAATCGGCTCACCGCGAAATCGCTTGAACTGCTGGCGACTCTCCATCATCGCTTCTGCCTGTGGTGAGACGGCAGAGGCCTGAAAAGTTACCGTTCAAGCTTTTGTTGGGATAGTGGAATTCGTAAACCACTCACAAGTAGGCTCAACACAGCCAGAACAACAACGATAATCAGGGACTTGCTGATCATTATACCTGAAATGGGAGGTTATAAATCAAAGCTTATACGGAACAAGGCACATGACGATAACAAATAGACGTGCGAATCTTGCCCTGATCCAATTAGGAGCTCTAACGTTTCCGTTGAATAGAGCGAAACAGAAAGAGCAGATAACATGAGACCGCCATATTACTCGTTATCGAGAACGGTGTCGTATTTCTGAGATATCGGCTGAGTTCGCCGTTGGCGCAAAGCAGGGCGGTCGCAAAAGAGGTGCAGAAGAGTTGCGGGAAGCATTGACGTCACGTTTGGCTCTCTAACGACGTCAGGCTTCTGAATGAGGCAGTTGAGATCATACCGATTCCATTACAGGGTTGAGGTGCGGATTCAGAGCTGCAGCGCTGATTGGGTTTGCACTCATACCCCATAGTTCAGTCCCTGCTGAGAGATATGGCCAAGATTCTTCAAGAGGACTGCACACGGCAGGCGCATATGACAGAATAACAAAAGAACTCCTGGAGACACCGCCCCCATCTCGCCCTTTGCCTGGCCTGCCCACAGGTCATTAATCAGATGTTACAAATGCAGTACATAGCGTCAACTGATCATAATAAGTAATCACAGGTCAAGCAGCAATTCATTTGAAGAAAGTAGCACATAAAGTGATTCATTTCAGGATCGCCTCAAACCTGGTCGTATGCTATTGGTTGACACATATGAGCAGAAGATCGAGCAGGATGAGGATCTGAAGCGACGCATCGCTCAGTCGCGACCGCACAAAAAGCTTACCTCGCGACGTGTCTATTTAGATCTACTACGAAAAGACGACGTTGTACGTGTGCAGTCATTCAAAATCACCACGGCATTGTTCAGTTGATGCCCTTTACGGATGTGTGCAATATGTGGAATATTTCAGCTCTCACATGGTGCCGTTACCAACGAATACCTTATCAAATGTAATCTGGAGGCGCTTGGTATCGAGGGCATGAAGAAGAAAGATGTTCATCTGGATTCGGATCGACGCCTATCGTTGTATGCCTATACGCATGACACATTTAGCTTACTGCTGGTGCCGATGATCAAAGAGAAGTACGTCTATTCACATCGAGAAGCAGTGTATTACAGCTTGAACGTGTAGAGTGCCCGTGTAAATGATTCCAAAACACTGACTGATCGCAGCCAAGCGATTATATGAACTCTAAGAGCATCAGAACGATATACTCTGAAGCGCATGTGCAGAATAAGGGCGGCTCGTTAGCAACACATGTCGGGAGTGAGCCCGAGATCGTATCAGTGCTGGGCACGAATGAAAGACGAGCAGCAAACCACGAGACTTGAGTCTAAGCGTACCGATGAGCCCGGCCGTAGACGACTTGTGTTTTGAGTTGTTCATCACGCTACGCTACACATGAAATCATGCCTGGGGCAAAGTTTTAATCTGTTCAAAAAAACACTTATTACGCGCGTTCCGTTCGATCAACACCCGTCTTAGCATAGCTTTTGGAACGAAGTAATCCCAAGTCTGCTAACTTTCATGAAGTATGATTTTTGTATTTTGAGCAGGAACTCAGCAATCGCAGGGCTGAGCTAATGACAACTTGCTGATGAAAAAACTAGTAATATCGAAAATGGATGATCTAGACGGGGAGAGGAGTCATTTACTAAGAATGTGTAGTAGTGATGAAGAGGTGACGACTAAGCTAATAGGGAAATCTGATTATGGATGGAACTAGTAATGAAGAAAGGGTAATGAACGAAAAAGTAATCATGCTTATACGAACGCTTGTAAGAGGCTCAATTTCGCTGAATTCTACACTAAACGAGAGGAGCGACTGTTTGTAGGAGCAGCTCTAAAACTAATTTTTTTTTAGAAAAGAAGCGCTCGGTTCCATGGGCAACGATGCGGCATTGGCATGTTTGTCCGACTTCAACCCTTTGATGTTCGCCTACTTCCAGCAATTATTCGCCCAGGTAGGAGAATGCACTGACTCAGCTCACCAGGACCAGGAATAGGCAGTTGGCAAAGTAATCATAGGAATGACAGCATTAGCACGATCATTACCAACAAATTCGAGAGCTCCATCATAGAAGTCAGATGAGAAGGGAAGTGGGTGGAGCTGGGCCATGAGCAACGACACTGTGAAGGGGAAAGCAATTTGGGACTTAACAAATGCAATGAATGATGTGCGACTTTAAAGTAGGCGAAAAGGACGGAGAGGAAAAAATAGACGTAAAATGAGCAAGATGATGTCGTAGCGAAATCCTGGTCCATAGGGAGTTACGTAGTGGAAGTCATTAACGGTTTCGCTCCGGTAATTTACTGTTTACGTCTCATTCCTTGATAATCATTAGTTTGTTTGATAACTCAAAACAACTGCAATGATTTCTGCTCGGTCATTCCCACGAGGTTCATGATTTGTGCAAGAAGAGCAGTCAGAGTACGACTGCAAGTTATCTCGTACTAAATCAATGTCAAGCTTTACTCTTAGTGTATAATTTAAAAACATTACTGCGATGAGGTAGTGTACGACAATGAGTATTCGCCCTAGAATAACCGAAATATTCAAACACAAATAATTAATTGCTAGCTAATTGTAACGACATTTATGAGTTTATCCTTCGGCCTTTGAGGCTACACAATATTTCGCTATGTGCGTTTTCCCAGTTAAATTTTATACGAATAAGCCGATTAGGAGGCTTGGGAGAGAGTTAATGGACAGTCCTGGATTGGCTAAAGTGAATCTTGATTTAACGGGTTGGAGATAAAGCCTCTACTTATAATGCCCCCGTCCGTGTCACGACTGAAGATATTACAAAGGTACATGCTGGAACTGTTCAAGCATGAACTCACAGAGGATGAGCAGGTAACAACGTCACAATTTCCGCGAAAGCTCATCAAAGACTTCAAGACGTTCTCTCATTAAGCGGAAACTTCTAAAAAGTAATTGAAGATAATTGAATTAGCTTAAGGGATGATACAAATGGAAACCTTCTGAAAAATGGCCTTTTCAATAATTTCATGCTCTTGAAGTGCCCTCAAACTCAATTTTTCGTTGCAAGAAGGAGAAGCACTTTGTTACGCGATGATAGGGCAACAGTTTGAGGGTGGCTGTGTATCATATAGAAGAGAAAGAGTTATGAATGACGTGAAATCTCTTGGGAGGTGCTCTCATATGTATGACGAGTAGCTAACGAGATGACTTCTGGGTAGGTGACTCGGTGGTCAAAGAGACGCCTAATTCAGACGATCGTCGATAAATCGCATTATAGAGAGGAGTGACATGCGAGTCGTGACCACTACGTGTTGATTCACATCATGATGGCATCTTCAACGAAAGAGTTCTGATTCCAGGTCACGAATCCGCCAATCGACCCGTTCCGTGAACAGATTGTGATGAGTTTGAGATGTCCTGTTGGTCCGGAATCGAATCTGCTTGAACCAAATGAAGAGATGAACAGCCGGCTCATTCTTGAGCAACCAGTGCTTTCGCTAGTCGACATGAAGGTACCTTTTTCAGTATTTCATAAGTTGGAAAGGTGGAGATAAAGATAAAGTGAGGAGGGATAACATGTCGTCAGTCGAGCGGCATTTTATGTCTGAACCTTTCCGTTCTGGCGGACCCGGACTTCAAAATAGCCTATCGAGTGAGGGCTTTTATGGGTTATGACCTCATTAGGCTGAGACAAGTTCAACGAGGAAATCGCTAATTGGCTAACATTAATCGTGTTCCTGAGAGATTGACTTTGGAATAGTCTCTAAATATTTATAGCCCTTTTCTCGAAGGTTATTAATCTCGGCAAACCAAACACTTCCTGATATTTCTGGTGTTTTCAGGTCATCAAGCGAACAATGTATAAGGGCTGGCGTAGCAAGACGATTGACATCACGTTCCCGGTGAGATATGGAGTGAAAGGTAAGAATAAAGCGAGACAAATGTTCTTATGATGTCGTACCTGTCAGGGTGGCTTTTTACTGAGGCGTCGATGAATGCCTTTATAGCTGAAATGAATTTGTCTTAGCTGTTGGCTAACATATTCATAAATCGTTTAGGCTTAGTACCTGGCCTGGATAGAGTGTGCTGTGAGGCGTGCACAGCGGCATTGGAAGGCTACCAAATACTTGTGCTTTCGGACCGGGCAGCTAGTAAGGACAATGTGCCCATATCGTCGCTGTTAGCCGTCGGGGCCGTACATCAGTGTCTCATTCGACACCGTCTGAGAATGAAGGTCAGTAACTATCAAAGAATAGCTCAGAACTGTATAATGATGCAATATGGAAGCTAGCGAAGCAAACAGTTAGAAGCAAGGTAACATGTTAGCCTGGTGCCAGAGTCCGCGACCCGTCTCAGGTTCCGCGCGATTCGCGAAATTCATGAGAGTCGCAGAAATTAAACCATCAGAGAGCAGAAATGCCGGCGGGATTGGAGAGCACCTTACCGTTTTGATCGGGTACTCGTGATTCCTGAGTTTTCTGAATTGCGCGAATCTCGCGAATCATGCGAGTCGCGCGAAACCTGTGACGGATCGCGGGCTCTGACATCACCCTTACGGTGGTATTAAGTGTGTTGATGCTGAGAATGGTTAGGGTGAGGGAAAGAATCAGAAGAGTTTAGAAGAATTTTGTAGATTTTCCACGGGTTTTTCCCTTGCATCTCACGAGCCCTTATTCTCTTTTGTGCGTTTCAAAACTTATGCTTTGAAGAAACTGCTCCTTGAATTTAAGTTTGAAGTCAAAAAGGTTGACTGACGATCGATAAACTGGTCCATGGTGCGCTGCTTTCTGGCCATGTTTACATTCACCACAAAGAAATAGCGATTATCACGGAAGCCATCCAGTGTCCTACAGGAAAAAATATGCCTTAGTCGGTCATCAAGGAGTATGTGAAATGTTTGTTTTTGTGCGTTCAATCATTGAGTGCTTCATTTAACAGTAAATAACGTGAAAAAAATGTGGAGTCACTTCAAAATTAACTGGGCAGGCTAAAAATGGAGAAAAGTCGGAGTTTGATGCTCGCGGATTTTAACTTATATTAGATCTCACGAGATAATTTTTCTTCCGTGCCAATCAAAGCAAAGCACGTGACTCATAGAAGGCTACCCCCCAAATTCACTTTAAAATGCAAAAATTTAGAGAAACGAATCACTGCTCTGTAACAAGTTATACCATAAGGTTGTGGAATATTGTACAAATAAGATGTCGCAAGCATAATCGAGTCATGCAATAACCAAGGTGCTTAGCTGGGGTAATGGGTCGGCTAAGTTGTTAGTGACTAGTCATGAACATGCTGCACCCCAACTGAATGTTAGTAGCTGCTGAATGGCTGCAAAGTAGTGCAGAAGTTCCGCGACTCGAAGGGAGTGCAAGAATTGCAATTTGATTTCCGAGTTCCGACTCGTTTAAACAATTTGCGATCGAGAACTGCTATTTTCGATAGGTTCTTAACCCTTTGACTTACTGCTGGTGCACATATGTGTACCACTTCTAAATGCAAAGGCAATACCACAATTTTGGGACTTAGTGAGGCTGTAGTGCCCGTTTTATCGGCGAGTTACTCAGATTAAATTAATAAGGCATATC